CATCATGCATCCTCCTCCTCCTCCTCCTCCTCCTCCTCCTCCTCCTCCTCTTCCTCATCATCATCATCATCATCATCATCATCGTCATCATCATCATCATCATCATCATCATCATGCCTCTTCTATTCTCTGTGAGCAAGCTCCTGCTGTCTCCGCAGCTTCTCTGCCCAAGTGCCCCCCGTCGGCCGCGCGTGCGGGCGCCTTATGCAGGCGGTCGCACAAGCGGCTCTCCAGGGCGCTGGGGAGATTTTGTTCAGGGGGCTGCGGGCCGCGCTCTACGAGCGGCTCGTGGCTGCCCCCCTCTCTGTGCTTCAGGACCAGGGGCCTCCATCGCCTGCCTGGTCCATCCAGCAGGCGGACTCGTCCGAAGGTGAGGGGGCCTCCTGCCCTCTCCCTTCGGCGGGTTCCACCTGCCCCACCGTCTGCCTCGGGCTGGCGGTGGACCTGAGCGGCGGGGTCTCTCCCTGGCTGCTCAGCACGGTCGCCGCCCTCCTCTGGGTGACGGCCGCCTGCAGCGCCTGCGCGGGCTGCTGCCTCGGGCTGCTGGGCCCGTACGTGTGGCGGAGGCTCTGGCCCTCCGCCTGGCCGCGCGGCGCGGTTTCTGCTTCACCTGAGCAGGACCGCCGTGCGGCGCGAGCGCTGGCCTACGGGGCTCCGCCTCGACCTCAAGCGCTCGAGCGGGCAGACGCCCAGCGTGCGGGCGGCGGCGTCCACGGCGGCGCCCACTGATGGCGGAGCTGCCACCAGTTGGCGGAGGGCCCCTTTGGCCCGAGCTCTACCCTTTCGCTGCGCCCACGGCGCGCGACTACGCACGATGGCGCCTAGACGACGGCGACACCAGCTGGGCGGCTATCCCCCTCGCCTCTCGAGAAGGGGGCATCCTGCTGGCCCTACCTGGCGCCTTTCGCTCCACAGCGGAGCTCGAGGCTGCCGAGGCGGATGGCTTTGCTGGGATGATAGGCCCCTTCCAGCTAGTGGACGTCCAGCTCCAGGGGGCCGCTTCACGGCCGCTCGCCACTACCGCATCCGTCCTCGTTATAGATATCGAGGTTGCCGAGCTCGAGCTCGAGTCGCTGTGCCCTCTAGAGGTCGGCGACGACGCAGGCATCGTTCCCTTCGCCGAGGTGCGCAGCCGCGTCTATTGGCCGCATCCTTCGGGGGTTCGGGTGCTTCGCGAGGGCTACGCTCGTTTGCACGGCGCCCCGCCTACCGCAGGGGAAGAGCCTCTCCCAGGGGCCGATCGGGCTACCCCCTATCACTCTGCCGACGAGATGGAGGAGCCCGAGGGGTTCGCGGCCGACGGGGAAGCCGACCGCGCGGCCCCAAGTGCGCGAGCCCCCGCGGTCGCTGGAGCGCCGCGCGGCCCGCCCGCCAAGCGCGCTGGCGCCGCCGCGCCGCCACGGGTCGCGGGTCCTGCTCCGATTGCTCCTGGTGCTCCTGCGGCGTCTCTGGACGACGGGGCTCCCATGACCCGCGCCGAGGTAGCTGCCGAAATGCGCGCCTTGCTTGCAGCCCACGCGGCCTCCACGATGGTCGGCGGACCCGAACCGCTGGGCCCCGCTCCGGCTGCCCGGAGCGCTCGGCCCGAGGTGCCTCAGCTTTTCAGCGACGAGGCGGCGCGCCTCGGGCTGGATCCTGCGGGGATCGAGGCCGTCTTGTCCCACGCGCCCGTGGCCCCACATCGGGTCTCCGCGCGCCCCAAGGGACCCACCTCCGCGCTGGTCTCGGCGTGGGAGAAGGCGCGCTCTCTTGCTGTCCCTCGGGCCCCTTCGTCCGCTTTCGGACCGATGGGCCCCCCGCCGCCGCCTGGGCTAGCCCATCCCGCTGCGGTCGACGGCTTTGCCGAGGCGGGCGGCGCCGACGGGTTAGAGCCGCCCCTTGCGGCCAATCCGACGGACTTCAGCCTCATGCTTCAGTGCCTGCACCAGTCCCTTTCCTTGCAGCAGGGGCGGGGCCATCGCCCAGCCTTCCACCCGCTTCTGGGGACCCTGAGCGACCAAGCTCAATCTCCGCCCGCGACCTCGGGCGACCCCGCGCACGCATCGGCTCAGATGGGGGGAATCGCTCGGAGGCGCGAGTGGCAGCAAGCGCTGATGCAGCACGGCCCCGACGTGCGAGGACTGATGAAGGAGAATTTGGCCCGCGTTCTGGGCGTGGAAGTCAGCGCCGTGACCCCCATGGCCATGCATCAGTACTTTCGCGAGCACAGCCCCCTCGGGGCTCAGCCGTCGACGCACGAGTTGTTGACGCATTTTGCCTTCCTCAGCGCCGAGCTGTGGCGGGCCTGCGAGGAGGGCAACCCCGAGAGGGTCCAGACCTTGCTGACTTGCCAGTGCATGTTCATCGACCAGTTGGCGGGGGACCGCGGCTACCTCGAGGCCGCTTGGTTCCTCACGGGGCTGGAGCCTCCCCCGTGTCGCGTGACCAGTCGTCACACGGAGCGCGAGGCCCAGACCCCGTTTTCACCCCTAGTGGATCCTCGCTGGCTGTCGGCGCAGGGCGAATACATGAAGGAGCTGCAAGCATTTCGGGCGCGCCTCGACGCCGAGCGCGCCGTCGCGCTCCCCAAGCATCCACCTCATCAGCCCAAGCAGCCCAAGGTCTCAAAGCCCCCCTTCAAGTCTCAGGGTGCTCCCAAGGCCCCGAAGGCGGTGCCCAAGAAGGACTGAAGATGCCCTTGGCGCCCGCCTTCTTGGAGGGGGGGCCTTCGCGTGGCCGGGGTACGCCGCCGCAGACAGTCTGCGCCGACGCTGCTACGGCTGCTAGGCGTGTTTGGGCGCAGCGAGGGCGCGAGGGTAGGAATGCGCTCCTCCAGCGATGCTGTTGCGGCCCCGCAGGGAGGAGTACGTTCCGCCACCACGCCCCTCGCTCTGCTCCGAACCGCCCCTCGGATCCATTCGGCCATTTTGGCCGTCACCTGCCTCAGTCGAGCGCTCCCCCCATGGGGCCTGCAGCCCCTGAGGTTGGTGTTCTTGCTGGTGCTTGTTCTCCTTCAAGCACCCCTGCTGCTCTTGCCAACGTCGCGCCATTTGTCGCTGACTTGTCTGCCTTGCTGCGCCTGTTTCCAGGCGCGAACATTGATATCACCCACTGGGCGGCAGCGCTGTCCCAGGTTGGGATGGGTGCTCGATGTTCTCTTGGATCTTTCTCCCGCTCATCAATGCGTGCAATGGACAGGGACGACCCGTGCCTTTTGGGGCCGCCTCCCCGCGATCCTTGGCCGTGCCCGCCTGCTCCACCTCTTGGTCCCCCGCCTGACGGCTTGTCGGCGAGGCGCAGGGAGCGCTGGAGATTGCGGCGCGCGGCGCGGACGCTCGCGCAGTATTCTGTTATTGCGTTGAACTGGCTCACTTTGGGTCATCCTAGCCTCGCTCCCGCCGAGGCTCGTGTCCGCGCCACGGTCTCGCCCTGCCAGGAGGGCGTCCGCACCCGTATCGAACGGTTGTGTCGGATCGCAGTTCGCCTTGCCCGTGGTGGCAAGAGCGACTTAGGTCGAGCCTTCGCCAAGTTCGACTCTACTGAGGTCTCGCTCCATGGCCTGGCCACCCATGTTGCAGCTTTGGAGGCCTCCTTCACCTCCTCTTCTTCCGTGCCCGCCCCCATGCGGCACTGCCCGACCAGCGCTCCTTCCGTGCCTGGTTCGCTGGCGTCTGCGGCGGCTTGGGACTCCACCCAGGTCGAGCCCTTCGATTTAAAAGTCAGGGCGTCTCGCATTAAGTGGGATTACTCGCCAGAGTTTGATCCCATTCCGTTTCTCTCTGACGCTCGAGTCCGCGAAGCGTTCATCAATCCAGAGGAGATGCGGCTCCCGGCGTCAGAGTGGCCTGCTGGCCAAAAGGGGGCGCGTGTCCATATGGACCGCGCCGAGCTGTGGGCCCTACTCCAGAAGTGGGATGCCTGCGGCGCCCTGTGCCTGACTCCTGCTTCGGACCTCGCCTGGGATGAAGCCTGCGGAGCTTTCAGGGTACCGAAGGACAGCGACTTCGACAGGCTGATCCTGAACCCAACGGTCGTGAACAGCCGCTGTGCCTCAATCTCGTCCAGCACCCAGCGCCTTGGCCAGGGTTTCCTGCTGTGCCGTTTGGGTCTGGCGCCTGGGGAGTGGCTGGCAGTTTCTTGCGACGACCTACGGGAGTTTTACTACACTTTCCGCGTTCCTCCCGCGCGCGCCAGGCGTAACGCCCTTCGCGTTCGTCTGCCATCATCCCGCTTCAAGGCCTTTCGAGCCTGGCGCCCCGAGCTCGAAGGTGTGGACGTCGCGCCTTGCCTCAATGCTCTAGCGATGGGCGACAACATGGCGGTGGAGATTGCCAACTCTGCACATGAAGGCGTCTTGCACAGCTTCGGGGCCTTGCGGCCTCACGAGCAGGTTGTCCACCGCTCGCCCTTCCCGCGGGGACCGTTTGTCGAGATGCTGAATATTGATGACCATACAGGTTTTCAGAAGCTCTCGTGGCATGGCTCCGCTCCTCGCCCCGACGACCCCTGTCGTCGTGATCGTGAGGTCTTCGCCGCCTGCGATGCAGGCTACCCGCGCGTGGGCCTGATTCAGCATCCAGGCAAGCGCGCGCGCGGCGAAACGCACAAGGTGGTGGTGGGCGCCGAGGTGGAAGGGCGCATAGGCATCGTCTGCGCTCCCTTAGTGCGGACGGTGGCCTTGTGCAGGCTGACCCTGATCCAAATCTACCTCGGCATCACCACACGCTCCCTGTTAGCCTCTCTT